TATATATATATATATATATATATATATATATATATATAAAACTTGAAGATTTAAAAAGATAAGGCATTGAGTCAAAATAAAATAATCAATTGTAAAAATTATTATTCATTCTTTTTGTAAAAAAAGCCTTATACATAAATCAATTGTATTATGTATTGATAGTAAGACAAAACAACAAAGTAATTTCCTAACTTTAACTTTGTTTTATTACTTTGAGCCTAAAGAGACTTGACTATAAAATAAATACTTGGTTATTGAAGCTTAGAGAGGTTTGTGTTCAAATAATAATTAAGTAGTTTCTTGAATATGCAAGTCAAAGAATACTTAGGTTGAGTTATAAGTGATTTATGAAAAAATACTTGTATATTTATAATAAATATTGGAATTTGATCGGGTTGATCAAGAACTAGATGTAGTCTCAATGGTTGAGACAAATCAATATAAAAATATTGTGTGCTATTTTCTCTTAACTCTTCATTTGCACTCGTAAGGTTTTGAGTACTACTTCACTGTTTTGAAAAAATGTTGAGTTTTTGATTGACATTATTTAACCCTTCCTCTTAGTGTCTTTCTTTTCTCTATAGTTTGGTATCAAAGCTCAGGTTTTGGCAGGGTTGAGCATCTAAATATGTTAAAGGAAAAGATCCTAAGAGTGAAAGTAGTGAAGGTCAGTACTTGCCTGAAGGAACTTCTCTCACAAGGCCACCAACCTTTAATGGAAAAGACTACCCATATTGGAAGGAAAGGATGGAGATGTTCATCAAATCCACCCAATATCATCTCTAGAAGATCATCACAAGTGGTGATGTTTGAAGTTAGATGAAAACACATAGAAGGGGGGGTTGAATATGTGTATGTTTGAGAACAAAGGAATTTTAAAAATATTTTTGCAAGAAGGTTCTTCTTCGTCTGGTAAAATAATATTAGTCAAACTTAAACTGGGACTGCCTAGGATTAGTTTAACAAAATACTTTTGCATTTGGGAATTTTTCGTCTGCTCAAGGGAAATGCTTCTTAAATGAAAATCGTTCTTTCAAATAGCAAATTGAATAAGTGTGGTTTTCGTCTGAAGATAGTTTTACTAGACGATAAGCATTAGACGAAGTTTTTAGTAAATTAAATCATTCGAATAAAAGTGCGTCTGAAAACATTAAAGTATAGTGCAAGCATTTTGTACTGGTTCACTCAAATTGAACTACTTCTAGTCTCCTTCAAATGAAGGGTTTCACTAGATATTCGATGAAATACAAGTATTGTTTGTTCAGCCTCTTCAGGCTCACAGTGAGTATTATAGACCACCCAGGTCACGAATACTCCTGGTCCCAAGTATTATCAACCACTCCTAGCTCGTCAACTTCACTTGCTGATGCTAGTATTCTTTGATCAGTCACTTCTGGCTCCTAGTGAGTATTCTCGACCACCTCCTGGCCCGCTAGATTCACCACTAGCGCTAGTATTATTTGCTCAGCCACTTCTGGCTCTCAGTGAGTATTATCGACCAACTCCTGGCCCGTCAGCTTCACTCGTCGATGCTAGTATTCTTTAATCAGCCACTTCTGGCTCGTAGTAAGCATTTTTTTACAAGTCTCTCCATGCTTTACAAGTATTCTTCCCCTAGCCTCTTCAAGCTTTACATATGATGACTAAACAGGTTTGGTTTTGAGTGTTTGGATTACTCTCATAGAGAGGATACATATGTTTGTACAATCACTGAGGTATGCAACCTTAGTCTAACAACGATTGAGTGTTTGGCTTACTCACACAGAGAGGATACAAAAATAAATACACTCACTAAGATTTATGTTCCTAAGATGCACTTGAACACTATGGTACATTTGACTCTATACTCTCTATCTCTGGGTTCGTTGCATCGTGGGCTTGATACCACTCTTATTAAAATGCAAAAGCCAAAAGCCAACCTTTCAAGGTTTAAGATAGTGATATATATATTGTCTTGTAGTGTGACACCCTTACTACCCCAATTTATATATCGTAATAATGCAACGTTATAAATAAATTTTCCAACATTGGTAAAAAGGGTTCACATCAAAGCTTCATAAATGCTCTTCAATATCCACAATAATAAAAATTTAGAAACATGAAACACAAGAGTTTACAAATTGTTTTAAAAAAAATATAATCATTACAATTCCAAATCCATATAAAAATTTTGTCCAAGAAATCCTCTGCCCCGATGTCACAATATCAGAGCATACCCCTAATTTAACTGTTGGCATTCTAGATGTCACTCGTAGCCAGATCTTCCTCACCTAAAACATCCACAAATTGTACGGTGAGAAAAGAAAACATCTATATGTAAAGCACATACAAACACACAACAATGTAATCTCATTACATAATGTAATATTTACAAGCATTTCTATATATCATAACTCTATCAATCATGCATCATCTTCACATCATAATTCGTAATCACACCCATTCATCTCAAATCTTGCAATTAACATTATCATTTTCACATTCATAATTCACACAAATCTTACTATGTCAAGGTCACGCTACCGTTTTCCATCCTAGGGTCGTGCTCACCCCTGACATAACACTGTGCCAAGGTCACGCTACCCTTTTTAGCAGCCTAGGGTCGTGCTTACCCCTGACATAACACTGTGCTAAGGTCACACTACCCTTTTTAGCAGCCTAGGGTCGTGCTCACCCCTGGTCATCAGTACGAGAATCCACACTCACATCTTATTCACATTCCACACATCTCATTTCATAACTCAAATTCCACATTACATACAGATAAGTTCACACAATGTAATGATTCACATATCCATCAAGCAATTCACCATGAATACTCATTATAAAAATAATATAACAATAATATAAAACTCAATTAATTCACCAATTTAATATAATATTAAATCAAATAGTAAAACTCCTAATTTTTCTAAAACCTAACTCACAAGCACTTTTCTACAATTTCGTTCTCTCTCCCAAATCATCATTTTCACAAATTAAATATATATTTGTAATCCTCAATACATGTAAAATCTAATGGGATCATCAATTCCTCAAACAGAAATAATTATAAAATTGCCTTCTAAACACTAACTCACAGACACTTTTCTACAATTTCGTTCTCTCTCCCAAATCATCATCCTTACAAATTAAATATATATTCATAATCCTAAATTCATATAGAATCACATAAGACCAATAATTCTTCAAACAGAAATAATTATAAAATTACTCATAATCCTACGAGCTTCCCCTTCTACCCAATTCCCTCATGTAACTTTGCATACAAATAATCCAATTTTCCCCCGTACATGGATAAACAGTAGCTGAAACTAAGGATCTGGTTGATCTCTTCCGCTGGGTTCCCCTCGGTCTTCAGAGAGTGCAGAAGAAGAGAAGAGAGAAAAGAAGAAAAGAAATCAGAAAATGAGAGGTGTGCTTTTTGGGAGTGGCAGATGGCTCAATTTATAGGCATCAGGCTTCGCCGGAATGACCCGTTCTCAAACCATAACGGCCCATTCTGGTGTGCATTTATTACTCACAACGACCATATTTTGGAAACGGCCCGTTTCAAGCCCATTCCCATTTAGGGTTAAAGGCAGTTTTAATATTCCGGAATGGTCGGTTCTAACTTGAGAACGGCTCGTTCTGGGCTACTAACTCACGTTCATTTTGGTAGTTTGGAACGACCCGTTCCAATTCCGGAACAGCACGTTCCAAGCTACTAAATCACCCCTATACATTTATAAAAATTACTAAAATACCCTCAATAAAATAAAATAAAATAAAAACTGGGGTGTTACAATTCTCCCCTCCTTTTAAAAATTTCGTCCTCGAAATTACCTGAAGCAAATAAAAATGGATATGACGCTTTCATCTTCTCCTCTAGCTCCTAAGTATCACTTTCAGGTGTAGATCCTCCCCAAATAACTTTCACCAAAGGAATTTCCTTACCCCTAAGTTGCTTCATCATTCGATCCTCGACTCTCACTGGGGTAGCTTCCACAGTTAGATTCTCCTTAACCTCAAGATGATCTGACTCAATCACATGCGAAGGATCATGGATGTATTTCCGAAGTTGGGAAATGTGGAAAACATCATGGAGATTTGACAGATTAGGAGGCAAAGCAATTTGGTAGGCAACACTACCGACTCTTTTTAGAATTTGAAAAGGACCAATAAATCGAGGAGTAAGTTTTCTGGATTTCAATGCCCT